GTACTGCTGGAACGTCCTCGCTGAAGAAAAGTGTGAAATGTGGTGAGATTATTCACCAGGAAATGCTTCCTGTGCTTTCAGCTCAGTCATTCAACCACATCACTTCATTCCATCTGCCTACAGCCTGTAACAGGAGTCAGGCATTCAGAGTTAAGAAAAAAATTCAGTAGTGTCATTAACTCTATAATGGAGTCCAACTAAACTGAAACATTAGAAACACAGCTGCACAGGTTTCTCACCTGATACATTTTACGTCGCAAACAGAAATGTTCCATTTCAGCCTAACAGTAAATACTTCATACCTTTATTCACAGTCTTATCTTAACAAAAAATCTTTTCACTCATCTAAATATCTTTTTGACTTCTAAATATATTTTCTGATGAATAATTCAAAATGATGACTTTGATGAGGTTTAGTATACTGCCACTCAAAACCACTGTCAATCCCACAGTGGCTAAACTTCTAATTATGAAAATTTGCCATGTAAAATACATCCTCTCTGAAATAATAAAAAAAAAAAGATAAACTGGCAGTTACACTAAGCTGCACTGCAACTTGGTACTTCCAGAGACAGCAAATCACAACCTGGTTGTTTGCTAAAAAAAAAAGATGTTATTCAGTCTACTCTAGTTCTGTATGTTGCACATTTCCCTACACAATGCAATTCCTGTAAGTGACGGGGTCTTCCGTAAACCTGCAGTACAAATATGCTGCTTCGAAAAGACCTTTTTCGTGAAACCCTGCTGTCATCATCATCACTATTGGTCACAGCGAAAAGTTGTAGTCTTCAATATGTCACTGCACCATGAGTCAGGGGTTACTCACAATCAGAAGGGGGTGGGTGAGTAAATGGACTGAGGAGGGAGGGAGGTCAGACTGTCTTTTATCCGCAACACTATGCTTCCTGGCAAAAGAAATGCACTTTTAATCCCTCTGATTTAGAGACAATCACTTTAGGAAGCATGTTCTACAGTTCAGCCTCAGCAAAATAACATCTCGTGCAGTGAACTGATCCTTTGCAGTAGTGAGTTATGAAAGCCACAGCTCTTGTGTTTGTCAATGTCATTTTATGCTGTGATTGCAGGACTTTCTCCTGAGCAGAGTTTTCATTACAGAACAGAGTAATCTGGCTGACTAAATAACCATATCCGCCGTGTAGACCATTAACTGCTAACATGTATGACAGACTGAACAGTGACGAGTTCTCCTACCCTCAACAAAAACTCTGTCTTATACACTGATCACTCCTGTCACACTAATGCAGAGAGTAGGAGTTCAGTCATTGCCAAGGTTTCGCTGTGCCAAAGGTTTGTTCTAGAAAGTAAAAACTTGGTTAAAAAAGGATCTTGAAAAAACTTAATCAAATATAACAGCCTGCAGACTCACGTTAAGGGCTCTCATTTTGATTCAAAAGTGGCAACAAAGGCAATTGTTTTAGGTTTAAGTAGCAAATGTAACCTCAGGGTCAAAGACAATTAGCTTGAAGAGACATGAACATTTAAAGTATAAACATAAGGTTCCTGTCTTTAACTCCCTTACAAGACCAGCTGTTTGCGATTTTCTTCTTTCCTTTAATTTCCTAATTAATATTCCTATCACATCCCTGCCTTGCTCAGCATGTGGAATAGAAAGATGCAGGGGGATGGGGAGGAGGTGATCAGATGTCGAGACTGGGACAATATAGCAGGGTGACAGGGCCAGGGGTATGGGGTGTGATGCATGGGCATCAGATGTCAGATTTTGGTGGTGATCATAGTTAATCAAGCAAGTGTCTTTTTACAGAATTTCCACTTATTACACACAAGTTTTCTTTAATAATTTAGTGAAGGTCACTTTGATCAAAAATGAACAAGCGAGGGAGGATCACTGAACAAGTCCAATGGACACAAACCCAGGACCCCAGCGATCAGGGTCACCGGTGCAAAATGTCACTGAAAACAACTAAACAACTACAAAAACAAGCAGCTGCATTTTTTTCATTATGTAGCTGCTTTTTGTTTCTTTCAGTCTGGGTGTGTTTGGGGCCTTTTCCATGTCTGTGCCCAGGTCTATTTGAGAAAAAGCCAAACTGTGTTTTCTGTGGGCTTCGGTTACCTAGAGATTAGACTTCTATGAAAGGTAGCAGAGCGAAATGGAATTTATTGCGAATATAGTCATTATTCTATTGCCAATGTTACGTGTTGTGGGGGTGAGAACAGTTTTGTTGTTTTTCTTCTTCTTCTTCTTCTTCAACTGCATTATTTTGTTTTGTTTTGAAAAGTGAATTATCCTGTGCCTCAAATCACATCTAACAATTGCTGGTACGTAGAATTGAAAAAGTAAAATTCCACTGCGATAATTTATATGTAAATTTAAATTTCCTGAAAAATTACTGTTGGTGTATTCACTGTGAAGTCCTGGAGCCAGTCACACTTCGCTGTTTGAAAACCAGACCTTTGTTTGAAGTACAGTCTCCCTGTTCACTAGGACACCCCCCTCCCCCACTCATTCCAAAATCAGCCACACAACAGTCTTGAATATGACCAGTAACAATGTCTGTGAGGGTGGATCAAAGCAGAGACAAGAGAAGCTGCTTAAAACACTTAAACACCTCTCACTCAATCTCCTTTATCAGACGATGCTCATGGCAACCAGCAACACCTGCTCAGTGTAACAGCTCATCCTCATGACACAAAAGTAAATGCTAAAAAAGCAGTAACATCAGTCAATAATGAAATCAATTCCTCACAGTCATAAAATATTATTTTTGCCAGTCATGCAATAATGTGTCCACATCGATTGGATACTATACCGCGTTTGTAACTTTCTTTTAATAAAAATTAAATCAGAGAAATCAAAGTCAACATTCAGTGATGAGCTGAAGTTGCTTCCAGTGGTTTAAACTTCATTTCAGCAGGAGGGATGAGCAGGGAGTAGGGAGACGTGCTGAGGACCTTCCCTCTCAACTAATGACGTGTTCACAACTACTTATCTAAAAGAATTCAGTCCATGAAAGACGCTATGTTGGCAGTAGGGGACGTAATAATTCTTGAGCAGAGGTTGAACAATGAAATACTGTATAATCTAACTACTGATACTAAAAACTGGTAAATAACAATGTACCGAACGACTAATCAAGTGGTTCAACTTTTAAAAACATAAAATTCTTAACATTTCATTTTTTCCCTCTGACTGTGAGTAGAGATTACTGTGAACACTGTTAATGATGTTTGACAGATTAAGACAACACAGGCAGAATCTGTTCAGTGCTTTGTGGCAAGTGACAATTAATGATTGAGGCAACAAGAAAGAACTTAGGTTTGAGAAAGAAAAACTGAAGATGTGAATTTGCACGTATCAAAAACTCTTCTGGGCGACTATTTGAGGGCTCAACCAGAGAGGAAATTTATGAACAGGATGTAAAGTGCGTGGGGATTTTCCCTCTGCTCTACACATGGTAGAGAGAGCTGCTGAGTATCACTGGAGCCTTTCACACCCTAAATTATTTCAAGCTCTTATCTTAAATAAATCATAGAAATAAGTTATATGTTTGCTTCTTTCTCCTTTTTTGGACACAGTATGAAAAAAAAGATCCAAAACATACAGTGGTTCATAGTGAGGCAGAGTCCACTTTCTTCACTGTTTTTGCAGAACACTATATCATTGTGTTTACGTCCACTGCTCCACAGTACTACAGTAATGTGACATCTGAGTATGAAATACATTTTCGGTAAAATGCATTGTATGATAAAAGGCAGCAGCATCATCATCTACTGTACACAGAACTAAAAAACAACTGCAACATTTACTGTCTGCTGGATGTGCCTCCGCTTTCTCGTCTCCCTTGAACTCTCCTCTTTTTAACTGTTCCATCTCCACCTCCCACTCTCTGTAATCTAAGTCAGTCAGACTCCTGTCTAACACATCACAATCACAGTGAGCTGATTTAAGTAAAGATGACAAGCCACTAACCAAAATCTGCATACGGTATGTCACAGCTTGCAAATTGGACCTTGGAGATGACTGAACTGTTGAGTGTCCTTCCTGCAACCCTGGTGAAAAGGGGCACACTTCCCACTCAGGATCACGATCACCATGCATGTTCAGTTATTATATCCTGTCAAAACACTGTCATGGCTAAGATCAAACCAGCCTGTGCATTGACAAGTCAAGATCATTTTGGTGTATCTTACCAGTAATTAGCAATAAGTAATTATTAGCGGATTTTTCAAGATCACTAACTTACAATTTAATTAAGATATAGAGGACTCTAGAACTAAGTTTTTTTGTTGCTTATGACAACTAGGTTTTGTCATCACCTCACAATTTCAGCTCTGAAATTTAATGAAACAGATGAGCAAATTGTGGATTTAACTGATGGTGTGGGAGGTTGGTTCATGCTGTAAGATGATGCACATCAAAGCTGAACTATAGACCAAATGCAGCTTCATTTAGCTTTAGTGAAATGAAGCATTCACAAAAACATATTTCATATCAACAATGTACCAAATTAAAAAGAATAAGTGTGAGCACCAGGACAATTCTGTCATCTCTTGTCTTGCCTCAGTTAGTAAGAAAGTGAGTGCAGTGATGCCAGACACAGCTCACATCCTGCCTCTTACATTATTCTAAAAGGCCAGTGACAAATGCATGCCATCCTGCCGCAACTACATTATGCTTCTGACCAACACAAATCTGCACACAGGCTTAGAACTGGGGACCTGAACAGAGTGGAACCTCATAGATGTTGCAACCAAGAAGATTTCACTTCAGTAATCAGCAAAAATGTAAAATATAACACTTCTGTCATATTGTCCATTTAACTGCCTTTCGCCCATCAAGCCTGGACAGGATCACAGGGTTATCATTGCATTAAAAGCGGTGTTGTAGTGAAATGTCCTCTGTTTACCTTCTGTACACTATGAGCACAGTCACCCTCTATCATCATCCCAAAAGCCTCCATTAAGTAAAAAAGAGAAAAGGTAAAAAAAAAAAAATCTAGATAAATATTTTCTCTTACCTGTCCTGTGACTGCTCCTCATACATTCTCTCCTTTCCCTCTTTGAAGAGCTGGATGGCCCGTTTGGATTTCTTCATAAGGCTATCAATGTAGATTTTAAAGTACTCATTCTCACTGAGATGTGTGAGTCTCTGGTTCTCTTCATATTTGCCCAGTATGAGCCGCAGGTGCTGGTAGGCATCAGGTAGGATGTCCAGTATGTATGGTGGACTGTTCTTCAGCTGGAGTCTGGGGTTTTGGCACAGCCGGACCTGTGGCAAAGAAACCCATCGATGAATGTTTGCTTGATGCTGCAACATTCAGCTGTGTTTACCACATTACAAAATGTGAGCTAACATTTGACACTACAACACAGCAGGATCAGATGTTAATATGATGGAACCTGAAAGGCAAACTGCAAGACACCAGTGAGCTCAATAATAATAATAATAATAATAATAATATAAAATAATAACTAATAATTATGCAAATCACTTCATTACTTTTATGGAAAGGAGACACAAAGCTACATGAACATTGTTCATAAGTCCTCTGCTGTTCCCGGGGACATCATCAATGAGTTTTCATAAGAGTTTGATAAACATGTGCAAGCAAAGATATTTATGTAACACTAGAGGGTACCAAACAAATGCTTAAATTAATTAAATACAAATACAAATACAAATATAAGCAGGGAACACATGTGCATAATTACAATTTTCACCTCTCCATGTGCATCTACAACAGGACTGTGCCTACTACCATCTAGCATACAGGCCTGACAGGTTCATCGCTCTAAACTTACAACTTTATCCATGAGCTTCCAGGTTTTCTCCACAGTCCGCCGGTCCGCAGCTGCTTGTTTCGGTGGCCCAACTGCATCCTGAATGGCATCAATGATGCCTAAAATCCGACCCTTACTTCGGTTAGGACCACGTCCACCAGGGTTTCGGCCACTGAGAGCAGTTGCCATTTCCTACACACTGAGGCAAAAAAGGGGAATAATTACAGCCAATAACTGGCTTTAATTATCAGAAATCAATCATCCCATTTGAAACATATTTCAAATATTCCTGATAATATGTTTAGACCGTGTCCTTTAGCATTGTCCTAAAAATCCTTATGTCTCAGTTTGAAAAAATAATCAGTTACAGTTGTCCTGTTTGGCTCCATTCAAATATTTAATTTTTTGCTTTTTTGACTGATTGTTTTCAATTATTTGGGATTTCAGGCAGAATTCCTTAACTTTGACATGAAACATGAAAAAAACAGATGAATCTCTTGAACTTATTTCAAATGCCTCTATAACTAAGCAAGCTTCGTTGTTTTGTGCCTGTGTGTGATTGCTCCCTGACATGACAGTTTAACCCCTGCTATCATACATTCTATTGTCTTCCTTCAGGGCTGTTATTGCCTATTGATAATCTAATCATTTTCACAAATCAACAATTCACGACTGAACAACAAAATGAAACTGTAATACAAAACGAAGTGATTCGACTGATTTGATTAAGGATTAGTTTACACGTATTACTGGTAATACTGAGGACTCTTCCTATGCGGCCTGTGTGTGCTACAATTGCTCGTGTTTACACGGTTGTTACTTTGAGTTTTTCTGTTGTTAAATCAGCATATAACCATCTTTCATGGTTTCCAGGGGTTTATTTTATAAGAGAGTCTGAGCTGCCAGAACAAGTCACACAAGAATGTGAAGCCCAGAACAAGAGACACTGGCGTTTTCAACAGGAACAAACAAGAATCGATCATGCACATCACACAAAGTACCAACTTACCAAACCACCAGGGGAGGACTGCTGGGATCCCTGCTGGTTTTGATCCACATCCAGAGCACAAAAACAAGGAGTGCCCAAGTGTCCAGGGGGGAAGAGTGGCAGGAAAAGTCTCCAGCGTGTGAAATAACTGTTACTTCACTGTAAATCCTCCATATTTCAGGATCGTTTTAAAAAACTGTTCCGGAGAAGCAGTCGGAGTAATTGGATAATCGCGAAGCTGGAAGGTATGCACAGTATGTTTTGTACCGTGACATTGGTGTAAAGGCAGCTAATGTGAAAAATGTCACATCCACTTGCATATTTCAAAATAAAGCCCCAATTGAGGGACAATATCATTTAAATTAAATTTGCATTTTGAAGCTGTTTACTCACTTTTAATTAAATTTGTATCGATCAGTTGAGTGTTCTCAGTTAAACTTGCTGCTGTAATATTTCCAGTTCTTGTCCTTTCCGTTCAATAGTGTTGTATTGTCCTTTAATTTGAAGGTATAGCATTACTTCCTGTATTCTCTTTGTGTGTGTGACTGGCTTCATGCAGCTGTTCCAGTGGTAGGCAAAGCGGTATGAGGGTCAATAAGGGTGCGAAGCAGTATTTTCCAGGAACCAACCAACGCAATGAAAGAAGCTACCAGACACCCATTGATGCTCTGTGAGGATGTCACTATTGTCGAGTTTGACACAGGAAGAACAGCGACCCCCGGTGTAAACGCTCAACACAACTTTTCTGATGAAACAGCACGGCTCAGAATCACTGTACAGTCATGGTCCTGAATGATTTCAAAATAATTTTTATTAAATTTGTTTGTGTTTTCTATATTGTGATTACGACGCTGTAGAAACGAGTACCCCACCGTGTACATAAATGCCCCTACATTTTGTATACATTTTATTTTCTGAACTTTTACTTTACGCTTGATGTTAATTAGAGTTGCACATTTTGCTTCCCATCACATGCATAAAACCCAGAGAGTTCATGCTCTTATTTTGGAGGTATACTGTTCTAACTTCCAGTAGTGTTCTGTCTTCATGCTCGTGCCTTGATGAAGTCACAAACAGGAGCCGCTTGTATGAAGAGTCCACACAACTCCTATCACTCCGGATAAAGCAGTCTTGTACCGGGTACTATAGTATAATCCATTTTCCCATTTAAAACCAAAAACGACGCCGTTTTTCCGTTTTTCCAGTGTCCATGAACATTGAACATCAAGTGTAACGAAGTGAAAAAAACAGGTCGCTATTGGTTTGGTGAAATTTCCATTATTTGTTTTTTTATTTAAAAAATTAAAGTCCACAGGTGAGTGACGTCAATAGAGAGGGTGAACCGGAAGTAAAATGAAAATGTCAAAATAAAAGTGAAATGTTTGACAATCTTACTGCCATTAGATCGAGGCACTTTGCCAATGAACTGGTAGCCTATAGGTTCAGATTAAGCCAAATTTAGCTACTTAGTGTGATTATATAGTAATATTATTTTAGTTCAGTGGCATTAATTAATATTGTGGAAACTTGCGCCTACTCCACGTTCCCTACCCAAATAAAGTGAGTCTATAAAGTCACCAGCAGAGGTCCCCATCACCCACCGTGAAGGTTATAACATTGACATAGTTTTAAGTAATAATAATGATACTAATAATAATAATAGTTCAAATACAAATACATTTTAAATTATATCTGCATTCCTCCTCTATCATTATATGTGGTGTTGATCATTTCTGTAATACCAGTTACTATTACACACCCATAACCCCTAGTTATACTCAACACAGACATCATTACAGTTCCTGTGTTTAATTGTATGGACTTTCAAACATCCAGGTCATAAATGCTATGGTATGGTTGGGCCCATTGACCAGTCTGGATGGCCTCAACACACAGGCCAGCAAGCAGGAAACTGTTGGGAGGTTGACATTGAAAAAAGTAAAGGATTATTGAAAGCAATGTCACAGCCACCTAATTTATTTATAAATGTTCAATGGGAGCTTAGGTGTTTAATGATTTGTTTATTAGTTTGTCAGGGTCTAAATAAGAAACACCGTAGCAGGTTTCAATAACATACACGTGTTGCATACAGGATTTGTTGCTAATTCGCAACACCTGTGCCTCGTTAACATTTCTACTTAAAAATTTCATAATATGTCACATATCATATCACTACATCACATTGTGCACAGATACAGTATGTATGGTCTCTAATACATGGCAGTATGAGTATGTACATAATATTTATGGGTGTGTAATACTAACTGGTATTACAGAAATTATTAATGCCACATATAATGAGAGAGGAGGAATGCAGATATAATCTAAAATGTATTTTCTAAAGTATTATTATTATTAGTATGATCATTATTATTATTTAAAACAATGTCAATGTTATAACCTTCACAGTGGGTGATGGGGACCTCTGCTGGTGACTTTATATATGCTCATTATTTGGGTAGGGAATGTGGAGTAGGGGCAACATTTTCCACAATATTAATTAATACCACTCTGCTAAAATAATACTACTATATAATCATACTAAGTAGCTAAATTTAGCTTAATCTGAACCTGTAAGATACCAATTCATAGGTAAAGTGCCTCGATGATGATGATGATGATGATGATGCCCCCAAGATTCTTAAACATTTCACTTTTATTGACGTCAGTCACCTTTAATTACCTTTATTAATTACCAATGAAAAAACAGATAACGGAAATTACACCAAATCAATAACGACCGGTTTTATACACTATGTTCCACTTGATATTCAATGTTCTTGGACACAGGAAAAAACAGAAAATTGGCTTATTTTCTAATTTTTTTGTTTTTGGTTTAAAACTGAAAGATGAAAATAGCGCTCATTTTCTCGTTTTCTTGTTTTTGGTTTAAAACGGAAAAACGGAATAGTTGGAACGGGACAGTGTGAGTCAGAGCCATGGAAAGTCCTTGAAGGACAGAGGAGGTCCAAAATGTTTGGTTGTAATGTGAGTCACATAGACTTTTCACATAATTCCCGAACTTCCGTAGCGGGCGATTTGAAAACATTGTTAGTAGACGTTAAATTGCAGTGATTTATGTGTATAGCACACCGCGTGGTCTGACCATAGACTGTTAATTAAGTTAAGTTTTCTTTCCCCTGGACATGAGATACAGTTCTCCTGTGTCCTCTGTGAGGACAAGCTTTCCCACCTTTACCACACCTCCTCCAGCACTGTGAGGATCAGCTCAGAACAAGTCATCATGCTGCTGTACCCATACTGTTTACTTCAGTACAGTCTCTGACTCTCCTCTGAGCTTATGTTATACTCTGGGTGATTTTATTTTGACTGACTAATTTTACTTTTGCCGACTGGGACTCACAGTACTGTGAGAGAGAAAGAGGTAGATTTGAAGGTTTCAAATATTTCATAGCTGAGGGAATTTGCTTAAGTAGTACTAAAATGGTTGAAATAGCTGCTCATATTAACTTTAGGTGTTGCTTTCAAAAATTAAATGGGGAAATATAAAATATAGAACTTAAACATGTTGAAAGAGTTGAAAGCCAAATTGTTAATATATAAATATTATAAAATGCATTAAATCTGTGAAAGAAGAAATCATTTGTATTAGTAACAGAAAGATGAACTGCATCCTACACAGTGGAAAAGTTTAATTTAAGATATCAATAAGCTGAATAATCACTTAATAGTCAAAAGTCTTGTGAACAATTTAAAGCTGTTGACTTTGAGATGATTCTGTCAGGGATCATTGTCATAAAGCTGTAATGACAAAGGAGCTGGTAAATATTACATCAGTCATTTATTAATTCTAGTTGCCCACTTTTTTTCTATTTAAAGTAAGAGTGGCTGAGACTCACCCTGGTATACACTGAACAGAAGCTGATAAAACACCCTGGACAGATCAGCAGTTCATGACATTAATAATAGAGATACCAGGTCACCCACACAATTACTTGATAGTAACTTGATGTGCTAGACTGGTAGGTCTTTAAATATGGAAGTGAAAATTTAATAACTTTTTAATAACATTGAATGCACTTTACTGACACGTCAGTTTTATGGGTGTATGTAAAAAATATGGGTGTAAATTCACAGTGCATGATTAGATTTCACCTCTACCCTCATGCATATTCTCCAAAAATGTGATATTGTTACACCTTCAAAACACTAGAAGAAAGACCCGACGACTTTAAACCACTAAAATATTTTTTAACCATCGTCATGTTTGTATTTCCTTTTATCAACTGTGCACAGAAAAAGAGTACAAAAAGGTTTTTTTGGAAGTTTGTCAACTCCACTTACATTCACATACAGGCCCCAAAAGTGAGATTCAGCCTCACTCTACATGTCTCATATTTAAGATTCCCATTTTCATGCAGTGCATGTAGCCACACATAACTTCAAGTCAAAAACTGTGTGACTGTGTTCCAGTAATTTAATTTTGTACCATGTTTACCTACACTATAAATTCAAGAGATGATCGATGTACTTCTTATGGTATTAGAAAAACATCAAAACATTAGAAAGTGCTAGGACACCTTTTCTGCTTGTATGTGCATATAATACATGTATGAGTATGGGAGCCATTGCCTGCTTCATCAGGAGAGCTGAGAGAAACCCTGAACACCACACCAAACATGGGCCCCACCCTTATCAGGTGAGACCAGACTCACAGAGCAAGATGTTTCACCACCCAAACTTCACCCGCTCATACATTCATTTAGTGGGTGTAACATCTATCTGACAACCAGACCTGGTGGTCAACAAACATATGGAATGAGGAGATATTGCCAGGCTGACTCATCTCCACAGATCTCCATAGAGCTTCACACCTCAGTAGAACAGCGTAGTACCCTGTCAAATGTTTCTCATCTTCCAGGACTTTGAGTGTAACATGGTTCACTTTGTGTTTTTGTCCAAAAATCAAGACAAGGGGAAGCTGAGGTAAGAAAAAAAAATTATATAATTTATATAAATTTTCAATGTTTCAGTACATTGATTCACTATTTCAATATTTTTGCAATATTTAATAAATACCCTTGTTGTAACTGCAGTAATTTAAGTACTCAGGTGTATCACGTACCTTATGATTTAAAT